GATTTCGTCTTCAAGATTTACTGATAGTCTCGAAGCCTGGCGCATAGGAATACAAATTCGCCTTAACTGTGTCATTCGGAGGCTGGGCTTCAATTAAATCAAGCCGGTTACCAAACTTGCGTACGTGTGCTCCTCTCGACTGTCGGCGGCCCAACCGAGGGTACATATGATTAGTCGATCCGAAAGCATACAGACTGGGGTCAGACGAGGCGAGGTGAGGCGAGGTGAATTTGACATGAACAGCTGCGAAATGTGCGAGCCGTGACTCGTGGGAATTCCCGAGACATGCTGAAGGCCTCGAATTGAATGAGCATGGCTGAACTGAATCTGGCTGCCGAACGCCAGGTTGGGGGGATCGAGGCCGCCTGAAGGTGGTACACCGGCAGGCCTGCATAACGGCGACTGTGGAATAACGAAAAATGTAAAAGTATGAAGACCAAGATGGTGTGATATTGTAGGGGAAGTTGTCACATAACGAAATACTATCAGGAAGAGACAAGGCGGGAGGTGGAACTGGAAATAATCTCACGCATCCTGACACATCAAGAACCAATACACAGAAGCAGATTGGCTGGTATTTGGGAAAACAAACATTACAAAAGAATAGAGGTTGTTTGACCTTGTTTTCGCAACTTGGTCATATTGGTAGGAAGACTTCGAGGAATGCAGCTAGTCCGGAGTCCATTGCTTTTCTTGACTCGTTAGCTTGCATTTTGTTGTGACGATGGTACCTCGCTCTGATGATGTCCGTCATATAACGGACGAAAGCTTAGCACCTTTTCACCAGAATCGAAGGAGATTCAGCATGAATATTCCAATAAAGCCAATCGACAGCTGGTCGAGAGGAATCCACCGTCGTCTTCTGGTGGAACCGACCTTCGAATCTCTTCACCCAACACTTTCACTCGAAATGCAAGTAAGCTCAACAATTATGAAACAAGAGATTCCTCGAAACCCAACTTTTCTTCGTATATAATCCCAGGGAACCTGACACATCAAGAACCGATACACAGGCGTAGATTGGCTAGTGTTTGGGAAAACAAACATTACAAAAGAATGGAGGTTGTTTGACCTTGTTTTCGCAACTTGGTCACATTGGTAGGAAGAATTCGAGGAATGCCCCTATTCCGAAGTCCATTGTATGCATCATCATTTCCAGAGCAGGACCGTGGACGTGGTACATTCCCAAACGATTCGCCGGCATCGTCGGCAGTAGCGTCAGTGAGTATCGCAAGTCTTAGCAACATACAACAACTCGTCAAAGAGACAAGTAATCGTGACCATGACACATACTCAGAGGCTTTAGCCTCGAATCAGTCACCCAGGTGCAGGGGATGGGCGAATTACGCCTCGAGTAGCA